AAAAAAAATCCAACTTTAAGAAAAAGGAGACGGCAAGCCAGCTGCATGCTGCAGGTAACTCTAGAGGATCCCCCATCGCAGAACGATAGGCCACCACTCAGCTCTAATGAAATGAAGTCTGGGCAACAAGCTAAAGCCGCGTCAGCACCAGACGACAGCACAGGCGTTGGTCCTTCCAGGGACGCAGGACAGCCGTCTGCGCCTATTGCGTTGAGACCTGGCGGTTACCAACAAAATGCTCTCGTTCACGGCAGCAATGAGCTATACATTTATATCGGGACCAGATCTCCACCCGGCTGTTCTTTCAGCCATGTTACAGTCACCGACGAGACCGACGATCTAAGCTTCTTCCTGAGCTTGCAAAAGAAATATCGAGAACTAAGAACACCTTTTCAAATCTGGTTCTCACCCTGGCAATATGATCACTGCGACTTTTTCGAGGTAAGTTGAGAATACCCATAGTCTCAATTCCTGAAGCTGAACACTGCTCTCAAGTTCCGCAAATCTCCAACAAAAGCTGGCAGCGGATCTAGCATACGACACGGCTATCCTCCCAACAACAATCATTACCACATGACCCCATGTCCCGTCCAAGACGACCCGCCCATCGGCGATCAAAGTTTCTCAGACTACTACTATCACCTCCATGCCGGAGACGAAGACTATGTTCCCGGCACACGTCCAAAAAACCTGAGAGAACAAATCCGATCTGTTCTAGCTAGCACGACCATCGCACTATCCCTCTTACCAAAAAAGAAAGCCCCGGTCGACTGGAACGATGGCAAATACGACACGTTCTGGGGCCTTTACGCTGTCGAGCTGCCATCTTTCATTCGTATCCTGGCTGGTCTGGTCTTTTGCCTCACGCCGTGGATTATTTTCTTTTTCCTCTGGCTCTTTGAGTGGAATCATAAGTCTGATTTGCAGAATGCTTCGGTGCCGTTGTTGGTCTCGATCGCGCTTGTGAGTTTGTTTTTTACGTATCTTTCGCATGAGAATCGCGAGAGGGTTGCAGTTTTGGAGAGGAGGTAGAGGGAGTGGGGATTCGCTTGAGATGAGGGACATTGATATTCTAGGACCTGGAGTAGCGTCTGGTATCCGTCGAATCGCGACATTTAGCACATTCTGAGCTCTGCCAGGCGTTAAGGTCTTCTCTTCCTCGTCTGAGGGAGATCTTCGAAGATGAAAGCATTTCGAGTTATGACTCATGAAAGAATGAGAAGCGAAAAAGCTCCATGGCACTTCAGCTTCGTGTCTCAAAGTTCCTCGAATGCAACACAATCACCTTCAGGGTGTTTCTTAACGTGATCGCGTGCTGTCACGTTTGGGCATGGATTCGCGCGTTTGATGGCAGGCATGGAACAGTCAGCATCGGCCGGGATACTTACTGTATTGTACTCAAAAGTCAAAATTCGCATTCGAAGCGACCTACACTGACCCGCTAACATGCAATGCTAGAAGAGATTGCCGCCTTTTCTGCCGTTCATCTTGCTTCAAGACCTCATGAGACAGGTCTGGCGTGGACGTTCGTTTCATAAAGATGAGATTGCCATGCCTCACCAGTCCTGTCACATACCAAGCCGTGACAGGCTTATTTGACGGCATATGCGTGACGCTCACTCTACGCAATCTTTCGTACACCGACATGGACATGTCTCTGTCCCGGAGTGTGACGATCGGGAAGTTTGAAATTACCCTCAGAGGAGGCATGGAGAAGAGACATAAGAATGCTCTTAATTAGCGTCAAGGCGAAGTATTATCTCGACCGGTCACCAGTCTTTTCCTCCTCGTACATTCATCCTTCCAATCGTTTCTCAAAATGCATTTCAAATCCAGCTTCGCTGTTGCAGCTGGGCTCGCTTCCGCTCTACCAACCGATCAGGGCCTACCGCTCGTTGGTGACCTTATTGGCGGTGGCGGAGGTTCAAACTTGCCATCTCTAGGCAGTCTGACTGGAAGTGGTGGCGGAGGTTCAAACTTGCCATCTTTAGGCAGTCTGACTGGCAGCGATGGCTCAGGCTTACCTCTTGTCGGCAGGCCAGGGCAACAGGACGACAGCCCTTACGGCGCTTCCTCTCCCAGCGACAATGGCGGTACCTTGGGAGGCATCCTCAAGTACGATCACCCAGCCAAGGATGATACTCAGCATCCCGACTGCGTAAACCAATGCAGCAGCTACTGCCAGCAGTACTTCCAGGACAATGACCAAGAGGACCAATGCCAGCAGCAGTGCCCACAGCAATGTTCACAGGCGCTCGCCTCGCCCATTCAGTCATCTTCTGGCCAAGATCAAAAGAGCGATCGATCGCTGCAAGGCTTTGCTCCAAACCAGCAACAAGGCGGCCAAAATCTCGCAGATCCAATCACCCAGCCTTTCAGTAGCAGTGGTAGTGGTCTGCCGGAATCTTCGGGTAGTAACGGCATCGCCAGTCCAATTGGCAACGGCAGTACTGGTCTAGATAACCCTGCTGATCAGGCTTTCTGTAATATCTTGTACGTTATACTGTCTACAGTCTTAGACTTTTTTTTTTCTTAAAACGCTAACGAGGCTACAGTGATAGCATTTACAGCAATACTACTAGCGCCGAACAGCCAGACAGTACGCCTCTTGGCTACGGTGCATCCGATTCCGCTACAAACCAGCCATCCGGTCAGTCTCAGTGCCCTCTCCTCTAGGGGGAGAATAGCCAGTAAGCCCAGTAGACAGAAAGCAGAGCGCCAAGATTTGAAATGCATGTTTGAGCTTCAGCTTTACTTCTGTATACTATGCTTCAAGATTGAGAGATTGATTGCCTTCTGGAAGGGTTATGAGAATATACACACAGCAACAGAATACATCATGGAACTTTGCGAGCTTTTCCATCTCCTTCGCCAGTGCCAGTGCCGAAGTTGTCCACGGTCATGGCGGAGCGCCTAGAAGAGTCTGTTGTAAATCTGAGGCTGATTTCGGGACGGCGAACGCGCGGACTCATCCGTCGACAAGATCACCGAGCAGCGTCGCATCGGCGAGAGCGCCCAGCCAGCCCTTCACAAATCTTCCATAATCATGCCTCCTGTGCCGCGCTTTTTCCTCGTCATTGCCAAACGCATCTGACATCCGCAGTGCACCTCGCAGCTCCGCTTGATTCGCGATGACCGATTGGCGCATTTTGATCAGCTCCATGAAGTCGTACTCTCCGGAAATTTTCTTCTCCTCTTCAGGAGACAGATCAACGGCATCGACATGCGGCTGAATAATTTCGAACTCAAGAGAGATGCCGGTAATGGTATCTTTCTTCGTTTCTGCTCCATCCAGTGATCTCCAATCCTCGAACACCACGTCCAGTCTCTTGTCAATGAGTTGTAGATTTTTTATGTTCTTTAGCAGATCATTTTTGGCAGTTGCAACAGGGTCGTGCACCACAGCCATGATGTTGAACTCGATGTCGGCCCCCGCATATTGTGCCATGCGATTTTCGATCGTCGGTGCGACAACGTGTAACCAGTCGCCCGTACCTCCATCGGATCCGTTACCTCCGACGCCGAAAGAACCCATGTCGTGTGGATAGTAGTCCAAGCCGTCCAGCTTCCAAACATGGTCGCCAATGGGCATGTATGCGATGAAGTGGAAGCCTTCTTCAGGTTCTTCTGCTTCAGATTTGTAAACGTTGGTATCTCTAGGCTTCGGCGTGCGTGCTGATCGACGAATTGGAGCAGGTGCTTCTGGGACGTCCTCCGCCTTTCCTTTCGATTTCTTCGGCGAACTAGGCTTGAACGCGTCGTCTTCTCCATCAGGTTCAGGCGAGGAGTTGACGGAGTACGTTGGGCCAGACTTGGGCGTAGACATTCTCGAAGAGGGTGTTTCTGGAGCTTTCGCGGCATGTTTCTTGCTCCTCTCAGACACACGCTCGGGCTTTGTGGCAATATTTGATGAGGTTTCAGAAAGTGCTCCTTCCTTTGCTGCTTTCTTTGCAGCTTTTGTGGCTCTACCTTTGGCAGCTGCTTCCCTCTTCTTAAAGTGATCAAATTTGTTCTTGAGATGCAGGTCGGCGTTCAGCAAATCGCTCTCACGTGCAAATGAATTGTGTATTCGTCTGACAAAGTCGAAAGTGTCGATGGCATCTCCGCGGGTCAATGGATCCATATCCTTGGTAAATTCTTTGAAGTTGCGCAGCTCAGGTCCCATGGTTAGGCCGGGAATGTTGTTGACGATATTCAGAAGGGCAACGGAAGCACATGCGAAGCTGGGCACTTGGTTGGCAAACCAAATATGTTGCTGCTCGGAACCTGTGTAATTATCTGCTTCATCTTGAGGCTTGTAGCGAAAAAGGAATATCAGAGCGTGGATTGGTTGACTGCGGCTGTTAGTAGAGACAAGATGGCAGGGCCAGGATGTACTCACGGCATGGCTGGCAGCATTTGCAAATCAAGAACATCTTGCACCTGCACTCCTCGAACGCCCATTTCCTTCAGCATGATATTGAAGAATGCCTAGACCTCGTCAGCAGGGAAATGGCCATATGACAATAACTACTCTTACGGGTTCACTCTCCATCTCGACCCATCCTGGCCAGGTATCGCGGTCTGGGGGCGCGAGAGGCGGATGGCCATTGACGGAGGGCCCATTCGAGGCCGCCGAAGCTTTGCGCTTCTGACCTCGTTTGGGAGGCATGTTATTTTATGCGATTGAAGGTGTGGTGAATGATCGATCGGTCGAAACAAAGCTGCGGCTACGGCGAGACAGCGGGTGTTTACAGCCAGGCGCAGGCGCAGGCGCAATCAAGGCGGCAGCAATGTACAAAGCGGTGTCGCCCAGCAAACGCGGCCGCGATCCTCGCCTTGGCTGGCAATGAGGTCGAATTTGGCTGATGTGTGCGCCATTTCTCGCGGGCGTTTCAGAGCACAGAATTGCTGTTTTCTGATCCAAGTGAAAGCCACGCAATAATCTGGTGGCCGGGTGTACAGCTGTTTCAGTCTCAGCGAGCTACGCCAGTCCACTCCAGGAGCCGTCTGAGCTCCGAGACGAGCGCGTTTCCTTGACGCGAAGTCTAGGCGCAACGCATAGGAAACCGAAGCATAAACAATCGACTACCGCCAACGCCTCGCCTCCACCATCGCACGAATAACGATTTTACGACCGCCTGCCGCGCAGACTGAAGAAGACCTTGTCAATATCGAAGACTGCAAATTTCACAACCTTCACGCCCATCTCCGACGCCCAAAATCAGAGCCATGAGCAGACGGTAGCAGTGATTAGCTATGGACGGCACACCAAGGCCCAGGACGGGCGCATGGCCAAATACACCTCAGCCTCGCAATAGGCTACGCCAGAGTGATCCATTCAGGCGACAATCGCCTGCATCGCAACAAAAGCCTCTCCCACACATACCCACCCTCAAAACAGCGCCCACCCCTTCGAGCGAGCCTTTAATACCGACAAACATCATCGATGCGCCTACACAGAGATTATATGCCACTGCATTCTGGGTGGCGCTATGGACTTGGCGAATATATGATTATTTGGGCTTGCAGGAGTCGGAGGAGCAGAGCTTATGGCTGTTTATGAAATGGGTTGCCGTGGATGGCATTTTCCTCTTTGGACTCCCAGGCCTGAGAATACCGTGGCTAGAGTGGAGCTCGGCAACCATGACATTGATATTCCTTGCTCACGCCATCGCAGATGCCATGCTCATGTTTCGCATACCCATACCAATCATGGCTGGCTTTGCCGTCATTTGGCGAGGAGTTTGGGGAGCATATGAGACGGCAGTCAACGAACACAACGTCAACCCAGAGTCCGTGCTGTTTAATGACAGCTTGATCTTGGGTCGGCAAGTCATCCACATCTTGCCAGAGGGCACCGCAATCATGAACCCCGAAAGAGAGGCATTTTGCATCGATCACACCACGACCGAAGTGAAGCTGCCAATAACGATCAACGCCACGGAGCCGATCGGCATGGAGATCGTGCACGTCGATTTGGAGACCCAAGCTAATAGTACATTGCATATCAGCAAGAGCCAGCTCAAGCACATGCACAAGGAGGCCTCGAGATTGTTGACTTACAGCGACGATCCTGATAAGCCGAAGACGCTTTACTATACCGTAAAGAAGCCCGGCCTCTACGTCCTCTCCAAGGTCATTGATGCATCAAATCTGGAGGTGGCTCGTAAGAATCTGGCCCACACAGTCGTGGTACCCTGCCCGCGAGTCGACTTCCCACCCACACAGCAGGATACATGCAGAGGCGATCTTTCGAAAGTCCACTTTGAAGTGACTGGTACTCCGCCGATGAAAGTGAAGTACCGAAAGAGGATCAACAAGGACACTCAGCAGACTACTTTCGAAAATATCCAGCCCGAAGATTTCGTCTCCCCACTTCTCAAAGCCGACCATAACTCGCTGGTGGTGCCCAAGCGCATGGACACGGAATGGGCGAGAGCCCGGAAGGTCACTGTGCCGCTCAGCGAAGGCCTCACTACTGCCGGAGAGTGGATGTACGCAATTGACGAGATCGTCGATGGCTTTGGCAACAAGGTCAGATACTCGAATCGCGACCAAGCAGAGCAGGAAAAGAAAAATGCCAAGTACACTGGTCACAATCTCCACCAGGTACTCCATGTACACGAACGGCCGAGCGTAGAGCTAGCTGGCTGCACTCCGCAACGGCCGATGAAGGTGGCCAAAGGCAGGTCCGCAAGTCTCCCTGTCAAGTACGGCTCAACTGGACGGGGCCCACTAAAGGACACATCGTACCACCTAGAGTACATTTTCAGTCCACAACGTGACATGACAACTTCCGAAGGTCACAGCGCCTCGCCGCAAACCAAAACGGTCAGCCTGGAAAGTTTCAATGAACAGCCACAGATCTCTGAGCCAGGACTTTATACGTTGACCAGAGTGTCAAGCGATTTCTGTTCTGGTGACGTGCTTGAGCCTGCATCATGCTTGTTGCAGAATCCGCCCGAACCAGAGCTCAAGATCAGCCATCAAAATATCACGGACCAGTGCGCTGGAAGAGCGATCGGCTTAGTGGTGGACCTCGATTTGACAGGAACGCCTCCATTTGAGGTCTCCTACAAAATGGTCCGAGCAGGGGACCGACATCATAAGATGGAGATTGAAACTATCAATGGTCTTCGAGGCCAGCTTCAACTCACGCCACGCGAGGCCGGTAAGTACACCTACGAGTTTGACGCTATCAGCGACGCAGTGTACCATGACCAGAAGCTACCGAAGTCCTTGAAGATCGAGCAGACTGTCAATCCTTCAGCATCGGCAATGTTCGCGTCAAACCGCAAGCAGACTGTCTGCATCGATCAAGCAGCTTCTTTCCAGATTCAGCTTTCTGGTGAGGGACCATTCAAGGTTGACTATGAGATCGTGCACAACGGCAAACGCAAAGCACAGCCGCCGCTCGAGAACATTGCAGGAAATGTGGTCGAGCTACCAACGCCTGTATTGAGAGATGGTGGCGAGTACACTGTGTCACTCGTCAGCATTACGGACGGCCTTGGATGCAAAGAGTTTCTCAAAGACGAGGCTAGGATCTCAGTTCGCCACCAGAAGCCCAAGGTCGGCTTCGGGCTCATCGAAGGACGAAGGACTATCAACGTGCGCGACGATACTCAGGTGTCATTGCCCATGCGTTTGACTGGTGAAGGTCCTTGGACTGTCAGCTACATCGATGCGGACGGCCAACAATACACTGCGCACCCGCGACTACCGAACGATCATGTTCAAGTGGCAAAAAGCGGCATGTACGAGCTCACCGAAGTTTCCGATAGCCTTTGTCCGGGTATCGTAGACGACGCGGCGAAGGGTTTTCAGGTCATCCATATCCCGCGACCAGAGCTTCGTATTGCACAAAAGAAAGAATACAAAGTCAAAGGGAATGACCTCTACAGGACCGAAGTATGCGAGGGTGATGAAGATGCTGCTGATGTCCTGTTCCAAGGCACACCACCATGGACAGTCTCATACGTTGAGACAGTCAAGCCACTACACGGTACAGTCGCTCCCAAGAATAAAGACATTCGCGCGGCTGTTCAAAGGGCCCCTCTCCGCATGGACACATCCATAGCAGGTCAGCACGAGTACAAATTTGTGAAGCTGAGGGACAACAACTACGACCACTCGCCGAGGCACTTTACTCCGATGACCATTCACCAGACAGTCCACTCTAGACCCAGTGCCGCCTTCACGAGCCCTGGTAAGACATACAGCTTCTGCTCCGTTGAGAACGAGGGCGAAGAAGTTATCCCAGTCACCCTCCATGGCCAGCCGCCCTTTGCTCTCGAAGTTGAGATTAAGCATCAGGGAACCGTCAAGCCTGAGCTGATCAGCTGGAACGATATCGGATCACACAGCTATAACATCCGCATCCCTCACTCTCGCCTGCATCTCGGAAAGTCCTCCATCTCGCTCCGCCGAGTCAGCGATGCTCGTGGCTGCAGTCGAAGCCTGGACAGCACAACCCCACGCGTACAGATCTCCGTCCACGATGCACCCACTGTCACCTCCCTTGAAGAGCGCAGCGACTACTGTGTCGGCGATCGTCTTAACTTCGCTTTGTCTGGTGTCGCGCCATTCACCGTCTTCTACAACTGGAATGGTCAAGCCCGCAAGGCAGCAGTGGCGAGCGGCAATACCTTCCGGCGTCTCGCAGAAAAGCCTGGCGAATTCGTCATCACTGGTCTGCAAGATTCTGCTTCCACATGCAAGTCATCAACGAACATCACGAAACACATCCACGGCATGCCATCCGTCCGCGTCAGCAAAGGCAAAGACTCCTACATCGATATCCACGAAGGTGGACAAGCCGAGATTCTGTTCGAGTTCGGTGGCACCCCACCTTTTGAGTTCACATATACACGCTCTGCAAACACGGAGAAGCATGGCAAGAAAGCCGGCCAGCTTCTCGATATGCGATCTGAAGTCAGCGACGAATATGCTATGAGGATATGGGCGAGCGAAGAGGGAACGTACGAGGTCGTGTCCATTAAAGATGCACACTGCTCGTATGCGAAGCCTGGAGTTCCAGATGTGAAGGGAAGTAAGCAGAAGAAGCTCGGATACTATTGAGCGTTGCAGAATCGAATCGGAAGTGAGCATCGCGAAGGCGCATGGCGTTGGGATGGATGGAAATTTTAGGAAGCGAATGTCCTTTTTTTTTGTCTTGTCTATCCCCTGTCCGAATTTAAGGGAGGGAACATGCTGATTTTCAGCGGCTCGTAGTCGAGTTGAGAAGGATGAAAATTGTGGTCTTTTTTCCTTTTTCATCGAAATCAAAATGTCTTCAATAACCTCCCTACACACGCCGAACTACCAAATGCTGCTGTAATTCCACAAAATATCAAGACTCCCATAAACGAAATCTGCACTCGTCCGCCATTCAACGTCGAGGTCCATCGACTGGAGGGAGGGAGAGATTGAGTGTTGGATTCTGTTGTCCTCGCCGTGGTTCGATTCGGTTTGATTGAGAACTGAGAGTAAGATTCTCTTGGATTATCAGCAATGCATTGGGACATTTGAGGAGTAGTTGCTATTGTAGCATTAGAGTTTCGCCTTGTGGGAGCTCTTAGCGCGGAGTTGACAGGGGACTCCAGACGTCACTTGCACACTACCAAACATTTCTCGCCCTTGAAAAGTCTTCACAACAGAGCGAAATGTCAAATTCTATTGCGGTATCCGCGCCGCCGCCTGCATCTTCGAAGATAGTTCCGGTGTCGAAGGATATTGAAGAGGGAAGTTATGTCATCGCACCTCGGAAAGCGTCCAGAAAAGCCCCAATCCAGGACGATGATGAGCCACTGGTTGACCTTACGGAAGCACTGGCATTGAAGTCCAAGAAGACCGATCGCAAGAAGAAGCAACAGCAGAAGAGGCTGGAAAGGATCGAGAAGAAAAGAGTCAAGTCCGATGTGAAGTCTTTTCTGGAACTGCCGCCTGAGCTTTTGGAAGAAGTTCTAAGTCACTTACGCCCATCCGATATCTTCAGATTGCTGCGCTTGAACAGATCTACACGCGATTTCATCCTCAATCATGAGCAGTCTATCTCTAAAGACATCATTCGGCGACGATACTGGGTGCTTTATCGATGTCTTCAAGTTCCAGTAGCGCTCGAAAAAGTCGATCACGTGGCGCAGCAGTGCCTGCTGACAAGCAATTGGCAAGATCGCCTACGGATACATACGAAACCGTATCAACATATCCGAGCAATCGATGCGAAGTCATCTTGCACGTGCATGACTTGTGTAATGGCATGGAACGACCTATGTTCAGTCCTGGACCTGGCGCATTTCCAGCCCACACTTGACAGACACGAAGCTCTCCCTTCGATCCCACGAGGCAGTAACCCCGAATGGAACACAAGACTCGCCCAAAAACACGCGTCAATCGTCGAGAAAGCCATCCGCACCCCTCTCCACCATGCCCTCATCCTCCAAACCCACCTCGCCAGCATTATCGGCACACTTACCCGCCCTATCCGATGGGGCAATATCACCTTCGCACCGAAGAACATGCTTTACCATTTATCCGAGCTCGACGTCGCACGAGATACAGACGAGTTTTTGGAACGTAGTGGGCCGCCTTCGTATGAGCCGTTGTATTTTCGGGAATATTACAACCATCATAAATGGGCGGCGTATGTGCCGAATAGGAAGTGGGATAAGGAGGCGCTGAAATGGCGGTATCCGAAATTTGGACTGTGGCATGCGGAGAATTTGGCTTGGGTTGTTTCGAGGATGAGGCCGGAGGGTGAATAGAGGTTGTGTCGATATGAGAATAGTCGGCGTTATATCGAGAAACTCGTCAAGGAGATCTCATATCACAGCCTCATCCTCGATGTTTCTCTTAAGTTTGGCCGTTTTTTAATTGGATGCTGAATCACGAGCAGAACGCTTCGGAAGTTCGTACGATCCATCCCATCTTCGCCGGATGTACTCCAGGTTGCTCATCTGGCCGGATCAAGGACGGCGAATGCACTCGCTCAAGTACTGTTAAGAGTCCAATACTTGGATTCGAGCCTCTTGTTGCCACGAACCGCGAGGGCGCAGGCCCTAAAGACTTTCGACGAAACGAGCGATACGATGCGACCGAAGTTGTAGTTCGAGGCCTGAAATCAAAGTGCGTTTCTAGAGATGAATCTTCATTAAGGTTCGATGTTCCAGTGGATGCGGAACGCTTTGTCTTATCAATATAGCGACGATATCCATTCACTTGCCGCTGCTCATTGACACATAATCCCTTGTCATGGGCTCTCTACCTCTTCGAGCAGACCTTGCACCTTGTCGCTCGACTCGGTCGGCACCATGCCCGTGGTCTTTGCATCAGACCGCTCTCGACCCCATTCTCTGTGCCTGTAAGGCTTCCATCCTGGCATTGAACTCCTCAACTTTGCGCGCGTCTTGTGAGGGGACATGGCGCTCGGGGAGGTGTGGAAACTGCGAAGTACGAAGCTCGTACACAACTGGATCGGCGGGTGGTTGCAACTCACGAGCGCGAGCAGGTCTCGAATGGCCGACGGATGCTGGAGAGTCGGCAGATGGCAAAGAAACAAAGCTTGGCCTGATCGTAGAAGGTCTTCTTGCTGGACGAAACCATTGGCCAAGTTCCTCGGCGGACAGTAGGTTGACGGTAGTCGAATCTCTGCGTAATGGATACATCCTGGACGATATCGTGAGAGCCTTTCCGCGTCGCTATTGATGGAACGTCTCGCTGGAAGTGACGTGCCACTATGGGAAAGAAAATTAGCTTATTACATCCCATTGAGATCGACAGGTAGCCTGCAGAGACCAACCTTTTGCTCATTGGGAGTCAGAAGATGCTTGCTGACATTGAGTATCCGGCAGACAGAGAACTGCTTTTCAACAGAAGTTTCATGCCAAGAAAAACCCACAGGAAGGTACGACCTGTGCGAGACTGACGTGCAAGCAGGCAAGCACGCCGTTGGCTCCTTCCTGAGCTGATCGCGACATCCACGTGCCTCAACGTTGCGCACATTACAAATTTCTTGTCGGAGCGAGCACAACTGAAGTTCCAGAGTCGATCAGCTTATCGATTCCTCAATACCGACATTCGACGTGGGCGATTTCATAGAGATGCCTGACTCCGCGAGCGAAAGAGAAGAGCTTGTGGCACTCAAAGCAGGTGAGCGATTTCCAAAATGCCAGTTTTCGCTTTGCCAAAACTCATGCGGTCAGCAGCCAAACCTGCGAGCAAGGTGCTTGTTCCCAGATCCAGTGGCCTCTCTTCTTCTGATACGGGATCCGGTGCTCCCCTCCAAGGCGTCCAAGCAGGACCGAGCGAAATCGAGGCCACTGGCGACGATGAGGATACCGATGAAGATGCCGAATATGGAGTTGACAATGGCCGTGAGAACGAAAACGCTGCCATCGAAGTATGGCGCCTTCTGGATGCGAGTGGAATTGCAGGCACTGATCCTGGGACCGAGGAATGATGCCCCCGATTCAGAAGCGTACTCAAAGACTGACTGCCACTAGTATGCCGATGACCCTCCAAATTCGGAGATAGCCATGAAGCGACAAAAGTTCCTGTCCATTCTCGAAGAGCAAGGGCTCTTGGCACTTGCGGAGTTGATAATGGGAGCCAGTGCAGAGCAACGAGACCTAGTGACCTTGAGTGGTATGAACGAAGAGGAGCGGGTCTTGGAAGCACTGGAGGTTCTCTTTTGTACGCATTCAGACGTTCTACGAAGCGTGATTCGGGGGACCCTACTGCCAGACTGCGTTGATCAATTGACGCGATTTCTCATTTTGGACAAGATGCAGACGCAGACCAACATCGACAAGCACCCGCAACCAGCGATTTACGAGAACCTTCTGGTCGATGATCAAGGCTTCTCACCCACGCCAAATGAACTCCTCCAAGCATTGAATGCACGTGAGGCCTGCTTAAGAGGGACACACAACAGGAGTGCACATCGAGGTGACATTCTGGAAGCGCTCAAGAAGGCATTGAGGGAACTGAGGGAACTGAATAGGAGCGATTAGGAGCAGACAACTCTGGAGGTGCTCAGTGGGCTGCAATGGCAACGGTACAGTCTGGTCTCCGCGAAAGATGGAAGCAGCGGCCAGTAATGAAGATAATGCTGTCAGCGGCGTTCGGATTTGAGGCTTTGACCACCTTATGGAATCGCTGGGTCAAGCATGGAGGGAACTGAAATGACATGGGAGCAATTAAGAAAAGACAATTCTGGAGGTATAGCTGCAGCAGAATCGAATTGGCGCATTTCGTCGCGCATGATTGAAGCAAGTCAAATGCGCTTCAACGCTGGAGTGCGCCCACCGCTCCGGTGTCCATGATATGCGGAACCGGTAGAGAATGGCTTCGTGGTACTCCTCCTGAAGACTATGCTTCTATTCCTCCAGGGTCTCCAGAATCATGGCATAGAAACCACAGGTGAGAGCAGCGCGCACGTCGACCCAGCGTTGAGCGTATGACCGCAACACTTCTTTCCCTGGCTGATCCGCTGCCAGCGTTTTGCACGCACCCAAAGTGACGATCGGATGTCGTTGCGGCCTTCAAGGGCATCACAGCTGAGGCAAACGTCCTTGTAATCTGAATATCGAACGTGGCTGAATCCAATGAGTTTGAATGTGACATTTACTCATCGCAGCAACTATAACTACATGTGTCTGATGCTTCTTTCTATGCGCTTTTGTTGCCCGCTTCACACGGTAGTACAATAAAAAGCATCCTTGGCATTAGTAATGACCCAACTCCAGGCCCGGACGCCTTCGAATTCGCCGGGGAAATGCTACCTCCTACTAAGATGAAGCTGTCCGGCCTGGAAGAGGGCTCGCTTTTGCTCAACCGGTAATGTAGGCACAAAACTGACGATCTTGGCAGGATCGAAGCGTTGTGTGGCGCCGTATGCAGCTGCGCTGGGGAGAAGGCGCAGTATGGCATCGACTTGTGGCGGTAATGGTGGTGCAGAGAACAGTGATGGAGGAAAGCCTGGCGGAGCGGCGGCTGGTGGCTGAGTAGGGAGTGGAGCATTTGCAGGCACGAAAGTCTTGGTCGCAAATCCTCCTTTGCCTCCCGCACCTGTGGACTGGCTGACCATTCGCACGGCACCTTGACCAGAACCCAAAACGGCGGTTGTAGATGTTTTCATGGGACTCTCACCGCGCATGAACTTGCGCTGAGGGGTGTCAGCGTCGCTATCATCAAGCGGTCGCTTGGGCGATGCAACGTATGGTCCATTTGGTCCGAGAAGGATTTCTGGTCCGGCCGTGCCTTCTCTGACCTGGCGTGGAGCTTCAATGCTTACGATGGTATGTGCAGCAGCACTGGCTTGGGCAGCGAGCTGCGCAGGATCGTAGACCTTAGGTTGTGCTTGGGTGGGCGATAGCACTAGTTGAACATTCATGGCGTCGAAGGTTGGCAGGCTAAATCGGCCACTGAAACGAGAAACTGCGAGCCCGTTAGCTAGAATCATGAGGTGAGGTGGCTGCTGGAAGTATACTTACTCTCTGGCTCATCAGGATAGAGTTCCGACATCCTCTTCTCGATCTTGTGGATTTGAGCAAGGTCGCCGTACTTGCTTTCGAAGTCGTGCATGTAGACGATGAGTGCTCTGCACTTGTCCTTCTTTTGCAGGTCTGAGAACTCTGCAGAGCCAGTGATCTTTGGTAAAGTCGACTCAAACACAACTCTTGCATTTGTGATGTCTCCGATGCTGATCAGATGCTTGATGTATTCAAGGATGAACGCCTCGTCGGTAGGGAAGAGCTTCATGCCACGCTCAAAAATTTTCACTGCAGACTGATCTCGATAGCACAGCCACTCCATTAAAGCAGATGCGATATAGACATCGCTGCTGAGCGGGCCTCGAGGTCGTGCGTCACCAAAGATGCCTCGGAAACCTTTTACCACCTTGGTATTGTTATCACCCTTCTTGGTCGGCTTTCCTTGACCTTGCACGCGCCGGAAAGCGCGCATCTTTGCCACCCACACGTAAGATATCGTTCGCTTGATGATGTCCATATGTTGAGCGGAAGCAGCTTTGACAGCATCGATTTGCTCTTTCATTTGCTCCTCGCGCGATTTAGGCTTGTCTTCAATATCCGAATCGTCGTCTTCACCAGGCGGGTGGATAGGTTCATCCTCAGGTGGCAGTGAGGCGAAGTGTTCCTGGATCTGTGCAACAGCTCTCTTGTCCTTCTCTTGGGTCTTCGAGCGTAGAGCATAGAGCGCGGTGTGCACGGCTTCATAGGGAGCATCCAGTTTCTCGCCATTACGGATGAGGACCTCGTCGGTGTTGCCAGATTCCAGTGAGCTTTCAACGCGATCAGCTTTCATCATCGCCAGCAGCACGGACTCGGGATTAGCAGCCATGCCCTTGTCGAGGAATGCCTTGCCTTCGTTGTCCATGTCTTCCAGGCCAAGTGTAAAGCACCATGACGCAGCTTCGAACCAGATCTCAGGGTAGAAGCAGAGAGCCATAGTGGCTTGCTTGTAGACGTAGAGCACTCTCTGCCGCCACTTATCTTCTTCCGACGATCCGCTCGATCCATCCTTGTACGCAAGCGGATCTTCGTCTCTCTCCCAAGCAACCCAGGAGCGCCATTTCTCGACTTGCGTACCGAACTCATCTTCTCCCTGGCAGCCGTAGATGGGTGGTAAGCGCGGAAACGACTTGCGGTCGAGACCGGCGAGCTTCTGCTCCAGCTGCATCTTCGCCGTGCGTGCCTGCATGTAGTGTGCACTCTGCTCCTGAATGTGTTTTCGGCCGTTCGCCTTATGCAGTCCCATCTCAAATGTCTCATACTCTTTCCACAATCGCATGAAGTCCGAGTGAGGTAGCTTCACCGCTCGCTGGTATGCTTTTCGCAGAGTATCTTGCTTCTGGAGGTCTTGCCAGCCGGTCTCGCCTATTCTTCCTGGTCCATCCTTGATGAACTCAATGTACTCACTCCAGATGATACCAGCGTCTGGGTCGATGCCGACGTGCTCCAGCGTCAGCTCGAAGGCTTTTAGAATCTCACCGCGATTCTGTCCGGATGTGTCGTTGATCAGAGGTAGCGCTCGGCGGACGTGATCGAGGTAGAACTTCCAGATATCGACATTGGGCAAATTCATCAGCGACTCGTTCAACATCACAGCGACTTGATCGCGCTCGTCAAGGTCATTCTCCATCTGAATGCGCTTGATGTACATTGAGACCTGCAAAAGTCAGCTTTGTGCGCAATCTCATGAATTGCATAAGTCGAAGAGGGTTCAAATGTCACTTTTGAAAAGTAAAAAGTATGGGAAGACGTACCGCTGTTGGGAAGACCTTGAAGAAACGAGCGTAGATATCTCTCGCTTGTTGGTACTGGTCCTTATCAACATAGTGCTGGATGAGCGCGAGCCATGCTTCAGTGTCGCCTTTCGGATCATCTTTGATGCGATCTTCAAGTTGGCCAACTTTGTCATGTGGCAATCTTGTAGCAGACGCAGCGGTAAGGGCTGCTGACATGCCGTTTGTGGAATGTTGAGCTGCTGGTTGAACTGCTTGCTGACTTGCATGCGGCGAAGGCGAGGGTGCCTTGCTTCTCTCCGGCGGCTGAGGAGCCGGTTGCACTGGAGTAGCTGCTGGCGAAATGGCCTTACCCTGTTCAGAAGCTGGACCTGGAGCTGGAGGCTGCAAAGAGGAATCTGGAGCAGTAGAGGAAGTAGTAGATGCTGGGACGGGAACAGTGGTGGACCCATTGAGACTTGTGCTAGTAGGAGTAGCAGTGTCATGCGGTTCACTACGTAACAATACATCCTGCGCCTCAGAAACGGCCACTGCACCGAGACCAGAATGCGCGCCGGCGCTGCCATTAACCTGAGAAGGGGCAGGCGGCGCGCTCGAGTCCTGTTCCTCATCATCACTTTCTTCTACTATGAAGCCGGCGACTGTCTGAGGCGGTTTTGAAGGCGGCGGCGCTTGCGTGGGAGTCGGTACTGTAGTTGTGTCCGCGGAATCGCCATATGCTACGCTGGAGGGATCGTAGTCGTCATCTTCGTCACCTTCATCTTGCGCAAAGGTCTCGTTCGGGTCGTAACTATCCTCGCCATCGTCGGCAGCGTCGAACTGCGGCGGCTCGGAGGGATCGTACTCGTCGGCCATGGTGAGAAGATGTCGCGTGCAAGAACAGGCGTTACTTGCTTGCGCGGCGCTGAATGCGCCGGCCGCGCTATGAGACTGCCGTCGCTGCAATCAACACGGGGTCGTTATATGGGAGGAGTGCTGTGCCAAGTTCTGGTCTGCAATGTCAATATGCGTTGTTGGGTCGTGGTGTCGAGTTGTGGATGGATGTGATGTGGTTGTGCTGCGAAAGGAAGCCGCAAAGAAAGAGCATGGATGGCATGGGCCGCGTTGCGCTAGCCGAAAGGCTAAATCAGGGTCCCGAGGCCCGACTTCAGTTTGGGAGTGAACGACCGTGAACAAACGACTTTCTATTGGAGCTTGGACATTGTCGAGACGACTTCTTCTTCACCAGCGTTTCGTACTGCATATCACCGGCGTTGAGGTCCATTCACCGATTCGGAGACTCGGATACGCCGTCTGCAACAGAGCTTACCGGACATGGATGCCTAGGGGGTGGAGATCAAGAGACAGTATACGCGACCATCGGCGGGCCCAGAGAGACCTCGAAAGATACCGGCATCATCATGTCTTCGCAGCGGAGAAGCAGCAGCATGCGAATCCCGCCCTTCTTCCGCCGACTCTTCAAGTTCACATCAATGGACTTTGAAACGGCAGGTCCCGCCACTAGAGGTATGCACGGCCTGTGCTAACAGCATGTGCAGGCAATATGGGAAATGACACACCTCATCATTGCGCCCAAGAAGGTTTTCAGGAACATCTACTACCATGTGCGGCTCAAGAGACACGATCGCGTTGACATGCATACTAATGCGGCACCAGAAACAAACAAAGAATTCCTACCACCGAGCCGATCCAGCCTTCACATACCTGCTCTCGCTCTTCTTATTTCTAAGCGGCATAGCATGGGGCTTGGCATATGCAGATGGCTTTGGGCGTACATTACGCGTGGCTTTGATGTTCGTCCTGGTGCACTTTCTCGCCACCTCTCTCTTGGTGGCTACGGCCATGTTCTTTCTGGTAGGACGCGTACTTGGCAAAAGACGACAAGGGTTGTTTGGTCCACCTTCAGGTCGCGGCTGGAATCCTGACGAAGGCCTGGAGTTTGGCTACTGCTTTGATGTATCAATTCGGGCTTTCCTTCCTCTATGGGCATTTCTTTATGTCTTGCAGTTCTTGCTTATGCCGCTCATCAAGGAAGACTACTGGATATCGAACTTCTTCGGGAACACGATGTATGTCCTGGCGCTGGGATACTATTTTGTCATTACGTTTCTCGGATACAATGGTCAGTATTGCGATCATCAGGCCTCACGACCATATGCTGACCCGCTTTCTAGCACTGCCATTCCTAAGCCGGACTGAGATTCTGCTGGCACCGATACCTGTCCTGGCGGTTCTTTGGCTGATCAGCCTTTTCACATTCGACTGTGCCACAAACTTGGCCCCAGTACTGTGGTGCGGTGTCAATCTCAGAAAGGCCGTATGAGCACTTGCTCGCGGTTCAGACGCTCAGCGATTATTACAGAATGCAAAAAATGCCATGACAATGACTCTGGTCCCAATCTCGATTCGGATGCTGCGCTACTGTGTGACGCCTCGCCTCCCAATTTATTGGTATCGCTACTTGCCAGTAGCTCTTGCATTTTACACTGCGAAGGCCGTCTGTTGCGCATCAACTCAGGCAGATCCCGTCGTAAGTAACAATTTGTGCGCTTTGCACTCTGCACCTGATGCTTGAGGCCAGACTGCTGTCTGCGACGCGCCTGCCACCACTCATGTCCTATGAAGGAGTTGCATGTTACGACCACCTGACCTGCGGCACATGTTCTTGGCCACTGGCGAATACACGTCAGCTCTGCGCTCTGATCTCGATGCTCGATGCTGGACTGCTGTCTGCGACGCGCCAACCACAGCTGATAGCCTACAACGGAGTTGTGTGTTACGACCCATCTGTCCTGCGGCGCGTGCTTTGGCCACTTGCAGTCTCAGGACAGCGCAGTGAACCAACTTCGTCGGTGGCCTGAATGGCTCACTTCATCGACTTCACTTTTGGAGTGTGGCGCGTGCGCCCTCACTTTGCATGTGATAGCCCACCTTCAGTACACTTTGACTTCCGACTTTGCAGTCTATCTTCTACTTTCTTTCCACAACAATCACCTCATCCAAACACACATCCGACAACAGCGTTGAACTCGATATCAACCAAACTCAAACCCCGCGGCTGCGATTTCGGAACGTCCAAGTGGCGCCAAATGCAAAGAGAGCGGCAAGCATGGCATCAGTAGAGGAAGATGGTTCTCCCAGCAAGAAGACAGGCATAGGCTTGGTAAGCCCCGAACAGCCAGCAAAATCGACTAGCTCTCGCGCGCCTAATGTCCCGGATGATGTCGAGGATATCAGTGTAGACTTGGCAAGCGAAATTATGCATTGGAGTAGGTGGTTGGAAGGCGAGGTCCCAGACATTGACGACGAAAGCACCCTTCAGCGAATCAAGCAGAGCCATTACCACATTGCCTATGGCACACCACGACCTGACCTTGCTGTGTACCGAGACGCTTATAAGGAACGTCTGCGAACCGGCACAAATACCAGTCGACGCACTCAAGTGTGGATGCAAATGGAGTTGGACGCCGCGGGTGTGGACCAACAGATCATAGTCATACATCATCCGGCGCGCGAGATCACTTATCCAATAAGACCACCAAAGCGGCGTATCGAAACCGAGAAGAGCGTGGGCAGCCCTCCATGCCAGCCGGGGCCGAATGTCTTTCCATCCATTTCGGAGACAAATAAGACTCTTGATGCGTCGCAGCAACGCGGCGGTGCTCCATTCGACGAAGATATGGACAACACATGTATCAGACTCGCCAATGCTGTAGTAGCAGCCGACAAGATGGAGGACGACGAGAAATCGGAGGAGACGAGAACTAGAAATGGCAATTGAACCATTCGAATGAGAGCATCTGTGCCCTAGCTAGCTGGAATGGGCGGAGGGGATGTGGTTGGATCTTGATTACGATGGGCATTGAGAAGCAGTGCTTCCAGGAAGAAGGAAGCTTCTCCGCGAACAGGACGGGAGCGATTTGCGATAGTCACGTGGAGGTTGCTGCAATCCGCTAGGTGGTCTGTATTGGAGCGACAGCTGTGCCTTCTGTGCCGCCAAGGGCGCGCCTCTAATCTGTGAGGCCACAACAGATTATCGGCACTACGACATGATTTGATTCTTGTATTTATATTATTCTTGTTTTCAAAAATCCCAAGCTTTCTTCGAGCCTTCCTCTTTCCCTCGAATAACGCGAATTTCTTAATATAAAATACTCGATTCCGCTCGAATTCAAGTTGCTTCATCCTCGCCCTAACTGTTAATTGTCCCTCTCTTTCTTCCTCGTCATGATATCCAGTCCTCCCTCGTCACTCCATCCAACCATTCTAGACCATCCTTCAAAAACATTCGACGAATCTCAGGTCTATAGCTATGTCCCGGCCTCCAACTTCCCTTCATTCTCGTAGCCAAAGCAAGATCTCGGTGAATGAGATTCCAGCGTTGAAAGTAGCTAGCTTGCTTGGTATGGAATTTTCGTGGTCCAGATTGCCATCGCCAAGGTCGAAGGAAAAGAAATTATGTCGGACTTGCACGAGTTCGAGATTGAAGTTTGAGGATCATGGGCTGGGTGTGTTGTAATGTTGCTGCGAGGGCGAGGTTTGGAGGATCTGAGCTTGACGAGGAGAATCTTCGTGGGGATATCAGGAGGTGGAGTTCGCGGGTTGGTTGTGGCATGGTCGGTGGTGGATGCCCATCTATTGAGTGGTCAGAGGTCGTCGAATTGGAAAAACGTGAGGTTAGAAGGCGATGACTGACTCTGCCCGATTTCATAGTAGCTTTAGAAGCTTGACCAGAGATCAAGCTGATGGACTGTTCTGCTTCGCTACAAGATTCGCAAGTCTTGGACCGACTTTCAAAACCACAATCTTTCGAGCGCGCCTGGGTGGCTGGATTGTCGTGATCTTGAGAAGTTCCTCCATGTTTTTCCAACAATATGTATCTTGGCTTGTAGGTGCGCCGAACGTGACTCGTTCTTTGTATGCCCAGAGGTAGATTGATAGTTCTGATCGAGTGTCTGCGGAGGCAGTCATAAAGATATGGCTGTCCCGAATTCGAGATAGGACAGCTTCGTCTTCGATGTTCAGAACGGTGCCCGTATTCCAAGAGGCCCAGATGTCCTGCCACCAGGTTAGTCATTATAGCGGAGATGGAGAGGCGTACGAACCATTGCTGCGTCTAGATCGAGCATTGCGGCGCGCTTTGGCTTGTTGAGCTGGAGGGTCGCGGAGTTTCTCAGACTGCTATTTGGTGTGAATGTTAAGGTCTCCGCCTAAGAGGGCCTTCATGAGTCTTGTCTCATGCGGCAGCAGCGCGAGTGCATGCTACGAGCAGCACTAATAAATTCTTTGTACGAAAGCGCTTGTCTAGTCGCGAGGAAATAATGTCGTCGCTTCTCGACGAATGTAGGTCATTTCGAAGGGTTTCGGCCTGGGCAAACGCCTGTGCAAACGGGTTAGCAACTGATGTCGGCTCTCTCGCTCTAGGTGTCTGGATCACTGAGTTTTGCGTCAGGAAGGGATAAGAGTCAATAGCAATTGAAAGGCATGAGCCCGAGTGAAGATGGAATGCAACTCTTAAGCGCGATCCTCGTGGCTTTTCGCCGTTGTGTCTAGTGCTCATTACTTTACAGCTGTTTTGCGAACTCGCGCGGGCAAGGTATGCTCTTACAGTGTGCTGAATGCTTCCTCACCTTGACCGTTCCTGCACAGAGTCATGCCCAGAAAAGCGCATTGGCAAGCTTCCGCCGAGCGTTTTCGTGGCAGTAAACTTCATCTACGATCGCCCATGTCATCTTTTTCATTCGCCTCCTTCCTCGCCACCTCCGGGCGGCCCCGACTTGCCCATTTGCCGCGCCTTGAGCATTTCATCGCAGAGCAGAAGATTCGACGAGATTCCTGTAGCGCTGGCGATGCTATTTCGCAGGACACGGAAGCTGTCGTAAACACCTTGCTGTACTGGGTCCATAGGCTCTCCAAGTGTGAGGTCGAGGCCAGCGACATGACCATCGGCGTGCTCGTCTTGAAGAGTGGCGACTGCAGCAAAGTTAGCGACTTGTCTCGTGAACTTAGCGCTCGTAAAGACTTACGGCAATCCTGGATGTCGTGCCCACTATTTGCGGCCAATGTCTTCGGAATGACGAGCAGAGCATCAGCAAAAGCAGAGACACCCCACTTCGCTTTGCCCTTCACCTGCTTGCCGAATTCGTCTGAGTTCAGTCTCCTCGCAGCTGCCACCTGGAATGCACCTCCGCCAGGCACAACGCTCTTGTCCACAATCATGTTGTATACCGATCTCAAGCCGTCTCGGACCGCATCCTTGATCTGTGTGATAGTGTGCGCGTTTGGTCCCTTGATCAAAATAGTGACCGACTTCGGATCCTTGACCTCCTCAATGAAAGTGTACTTCTCCTCGCCCAGCTGATGCTCGTAGACGTGGCCCGCCCAGCCAAGCACGTCAGGCGTCAGGTCGTCAACGCTGTTCTGTGCTGTGCCACCACAAATGAGCTGTAGTCTCTCCATATTTCTCCTCTTCGCTCTCCGCAGTGCGAAAATGCCGTTCTTCACGAGCACATCGAGTGACAGCGGGTCAATACCCTTTTGGTTGATGATGACGAAGCCCTTCTTCGGGTCATTGCCACATACCTCCTTCTTGAGCTCGACGATCTTCCTCAGCTTGTCATCGACGAACCTCCGCTCGCTCTCCACAAGCTTTTCTCGTTGCTCCGCGCTGGAGTAGTAGAAGCCACTGTTGATCTCGCTCTTCTCGTATTCTAACGACACATTCAAAGTGAGGATGAAGGCGTTCTTAACGTCCTTTGGCATGTCGGGATGTCTCGCTCCGTGGTCGAGGGCAAGTCCGCGAATCAGCTGGGTGTCGGCTGCGGTTCGGTGCTGCATAGTCATGATCTCGACCATGTGCAAGTCTGGTTTCGCGGGAGCTTGGTAGATGGCGAGGACGGCGTCAACGATATCGGGAGTGAGCTGTTCGGCGAGAGTCTTGTTAATCTTTGTGCTTAACGAGGTCCGCGCGACGTTCAGCAACAATTCTCTGTCGACGTCTCTCGCCAGCTTGAATTCGTCCAAGAAGCGCAGCGTCTCGTTTTTGGCCACCTCGTAGCCATCGGTGATCACTCGTGGATGTAAGCCTTCAGCAATGTATCGGTCCGCCTGCTTCAGCAATTCTCCCACCATCAACACCACGCTCGTTGTGCCGTCTCCGCAGATCTCATCTTGTGCTGTTGCTGCCCGCGCAATCATGACTGCGGTTGGATTTTGAATCTGCATCTCCTTCAGCAGTACACTGCCGTCCTTCGTGAGCTTGATCTGCCCTGAGCCATCAACCAGCATCTTGAGTGTGCCCGTAGGCCCCAGGTTGGATGCGAGCACATCCTGCAGTCCTTCGCCAGCGGAAATGTTGACTCTTAATGCTTCGCCTCGTCGTCGAGATTCGGCCTTCGGGTTGAGTAGTTGAGCGGCCGACATGTTTGCAGTTTTTGTGGTGGTTTAATATGGCTTGGCTGTGCTGGAGCTGTGCTGGAACGAGGCACGCGAATCTGAAGTCGCGAACTTTTGGTTTTGTCACGGAAAGACCATGTGCACCTCCGTACAGACCAGCCCTAACAGGGTGTTACGGAACAAGGAAGTAACGGTCCAGGGGCTGGCTAACTAATGGGGCGACGGCCTACCTTTGTAATTAGCCTTCCTCCTCTAAATAATCATTAACAATCTCAACTTCATAACAAATAGTAGCTTCGCTCGTACTAAACCCTCGTACTACTAGGAGTTATTTAAGATACTACTAGAACGAGGCAACTACTAGATCGAGGCTAACCCGACTAAGAGCCTAACTACTTCCCCCTACTACTTCTTTGCGACCGTGTATACGGAACGCGTATCTATATAAACCCTATAGACGACGACCGCGCTTTCGCTATATATACGCAAACTAACTAAATTACTAACGTAGAGGTTAGGTCTTATTTAGGACGCTTTCTATAGGACTTTTAGGCGACAGAGACCTATCCTCCTAAGTAGCTCGATTTACTAGTATACCGACAGCCTATATAGAACTCCTTCCTATAGTTCTACCGAAGAAGATATAGGCTAAATTTACTATCTACGACTACTTTAGAACTAACTAGGTCTAGAAGGCACTTATCCGCAAAGGGGAAGTTACCTTCTAAATTAAGGATAGCTGCTTCTAGGTCGCTATAGCAGTTATAACTATAGCAATCGCCTAACGCGATAATAATAACGATAACCTCTACTATAAGTATATAACCTTCGACTACGTCGACGGCTCGATCTATAATAGTAACTATATAGGCAACGAGCGTCTAGCCTCCTACTATAGCGGAACAAGGGGACGCTATCTCGGCGGAAATAATAGCCGCTATTTAGGCGGCAGTTGCCTAGGCACTAGTAGGCTAGGCTCCTACGGTAGGCAACGGAAATAAAAATAGTATATCTATCTTTAACGAGGCTAGTAACCTAGACCGAATGCGGGACTAGGAAATTAGCTTCTTCTAGCTAGATCTACCGAAGGGAGACGACGACCCGAGTATCGTAGGATCCGATACCTTCTTCTAAGACGTTAATATCTTTATTAAACGACTTAAGGATATTGTAGTATATCGTAGTAACGATCGAGTTAAGTCTAGAATCCCCGTACTACTACGAGGAACGGCCTTAACCTAGTATACTAATACGCTTAACAACCTAGCGAAATAGGGCCTTCGCTATATACTAGGTCTAGACTATTAGTTTACGACGCTATAAGAGAACTTCTAGACGCTACTATCTAAGTCGCTAAACGAGCTAACGCGGCTTAAATATACGTTATTAGACGCAAGTAACTAACGTAGTATAGATACCTACCTAGACCCCGCAGTGGTTCGGGTTGGTTTGGTTTGGTTTGCTAAGCCGAAACTCTGGTTTAGTTTGGGTTGGTTTGCTAAGCAACTATATAAGTAGCTGGTTCGAACCATATAATTTATCGGTTTTTAAGAAGTGTACGAATGTATACGTAGCTTCAAGCAAGCCCTTTGTAAGACTTAGCAGTGTGGCCGGCAGCGTGGCCGGCATTTTTAGTCCTTAGTACTTATAGAATTTTCGAATCCTACTTAGGCTACGTAGTTGTATGAAGGTACTTATATAACCTTAAATCTATAGACAATTAGCTAAGGGCACTAACCAATTAAAAGCATACATATATATAAGGCATTATAGTTTAGTTCGGAAACTGTACTCCTTAGGTATGAATTTCATCCTTTCGTTTACGGTTCAATTCCCTAACTGCTTAGCAGAATGTCTTTATCTAGATCTAGGCAGAACTTATCGATTTCCCTAGAAGTCCTCCTCCTTAAGAAGTTTATACACTTTCCTACCGAACTATTCGACAATATTAAGTACTAGGATAGCTCCTCCCTCGGTATCGGCACAGTATATAAAAGAGCTATAAAGCAGCTCTGTAGAACGTTCTACTAGTTACTCGCTATACTAAGGCCGAATGCTAGTTCGTTCCTTAGAACTCTTAGTTATTTAGGAGATATAAAGGGTAGGGCAGGTAGTAACTTCGTATTGTATAAGGAGGTAGAGGCTGCTATAGAAGAGGCCTTCAACCTATAGAAGATAGTAAAAGATATAGAGGCAGCTATAGGTCTAGGTACCTAGTTGAATTTCTAGTAGGTAGAGTATAAGGATATTTAGAGGGAGTATTAGGTAGAGTTGCGAAGGCAGGTATATAATATGCTCTAGAAAACAGGGATAGTGCCTATAACTATAACTATTAGGCTCTTCAACCTTCCTTATTTTTCCCTGTTTTCTTTTTATAAAAATCTAAACTAATACAAATCAACCGGAATGTCTATCTTCTTTTAGTTCTTTAAAAAACCTAGCAGCGTAGCTAGCAGCGTGGCCGGCAGCGTAGCCGGCAGCGTAGCCGGCCTTTTTACTCCTTAGTACTAACGGGATTTTGGGAGACTTCTATTCCGTACGGCTAATAAAGCATACTATACTATATATATATGCTTAGAGAGTATTTAGAGCGCGGTATGCAGCGCCGTATAATAGCGGCTCATTTCGTATATAGAAAAGCTTGCAGACGATACTACGAACATCCTTCCTACTAGTATATCTATCCTATCTAGCACTATCTCGAATGTAGATATTCTAGCCTTTCAGAATCTGATCGAGTGCTTTAAAATCCTTGTCTATAATCGTTATACGCTTCGCGTAGATAGCTATAAGGTTGACCGCTAAAATAGTATTAGCATAGTCCGAAAAGAGGTAGAAGAGAAACATATATTCGAAGATACGAACTAGGTAGGCTTCTGTAGCCTCTTAAAGGGCGCCTATCGCGGAGGCTTGGAAGCGAAGGTCTATTCTATAATCCTAGGCAATTTCGCGAACAAGTCGTTAAAAAGGAGTTTTGCGGATTAGGAGCTTAGAACTCTTCTAATACTGCCGAATCTTACGGAGGGCTACGGCTAAAGAAGGATTAGTAAAAAGACAGTAAGAATGCCGGCTACGCTGCCGGCTACGCTGCCGGCTACAAATAGGACTTACTTCCTAGGCGCTATCGACGCTTCGTATAATTGCTACTAGTAGCAGAAGCGCTAGTTGTCGTCTTACGTAGAGCCTTGCCCGCCGTTGTCTTACGCGGAGCCTTGCCCGCCGTTGTCTTACGCGGAGCCTTGCTCGCGACGCCCTTTCTAGTACCGGAGCTAGCGGTAGTAGTAGCAGCTATCTTACGTTAATGTACTATACTCGTTCTATTATTTCCGATCTTGTTGCGACCCGTAGAAGCACTAGGTCCCTTCTTACGAGGCGTCGTAACTTGGTTAAGTAGACTCGCTATTATAAAAGTCGTCGAATTAAGGAAAAAAGTGCGTTACGAAGGTATACGAAGGCGCGCGCGGAGCGAGGGTATTGCGGAGGTAGTAGATATAGAGCGTAGAGGTATAGGTATCGATGCGAAGGTTGAATATAGCGGTAGTATCGCGGTGTCGCTAGGCAACAGAGTAAGCTTCGCGCAAGCCTATATTATAGTGACGTTAGAGCAAGGAAAGAAGGCAGGCACGGCTAAAAAAGGCAGGTACGGCTAAAAAAGGCAGGTACGGCAGACTTTGAAATATAGCCGGCATATATAGCCGGCATAGTAATAGGCGAAAGCCTCCTTTTAATAAATAGCCGGCGTGATAATAGTATCCTACTATAGTATAGATATTCTTTAGTAATGCCTTTACTAGCTATAGTAATCTTATAAGTAACCTAGGCCTATTGCTAGTAAATATAAGAAATATCAGGTAGGCTATACTAAACAAGCTAGTCATTTAGCAGGAAAAGGCCTACTACCGTCTCTATATGCCGGCTACGAGTGCCGGCTACGAGTGCCGGCTATCGCTCTAAATTTAACTCCGCCCTATCTCGGAGGCTAAGGTACCGAGCGGAAACCCTATAGCTTATATTCACTCGGTTGTCGCGGAGCGCTTACAGGTGAGGTATTAGAAAAGAGTATAAAAAGTACGAGAAGAGTATCCTAGGATATAGGTCGTAAGTGAATAAGAGTAGCACGCCTAGTTATTTATATAGTACGTTACTCTATACGACTAAGAGCCTATATTATCTCGTGCTTCGCTTATAAGACCTCGACTCTACTAATATACTGTTATTCTCCTACTCGGTCGCTGTCTTAAATCTTCTTCGAGTTGCCGGACTTAGTGCGCATCTGTAGCTATGTAATAGCGCTACGTATTATAGAGAATCAACTCCGCCGTATCTCGAAGGCTAAGGTACCGAGCGGAAATCCTATAGCTTATATTCACTCGGTTGTCGCGGAGCGATTACAGGTAAGGTATTAGAAAAGAGTATAAAAAGTACAATAAGAGCATCCTAGGATATAGGTCGTAAGTGAATAAGAGTAGCACGCCTAGTTATTTATATAGTACGTTACTCTATACGACTAAGAGCCTATATTATCTTGTGCTTCGCTTATAAGACCTCGACTCTACTAGTATACTATCGATCTCCTCCTCGGTCGCTAATACGCTGTCTTAATTCTTCTTCGAGTTGCCGGACTTGGTGCGTATCTATAGCTATACAATAGCGCTACGCATTATAGAGAATTTCTCGTTAAAGTTTCTCTCTCGCAGGCTTGCTATCTGCCTCGTAGTATAGAGGATTAAAGTGCTAATACTAAAGAATCTCCTTATAGTTAGGATGCTAGGGCTCCTTAGGACCTTTGTGTTTTAGGTCTAAATAGAGACGTATTATAAACGTTCTATCGCCCTTTCGCTTACTACCCGCTAGGTCGCGATATGCGAAGAAACTAATCTAAATGTAGCTCGTCTCTATAAGAGCCGGGTGAATATAGAGCGCTAGGTTTCTACTTCGTACCTTAGATTTAGGGACGGCGCGGAGATAAAATCAGAAATGTGGCCGGCACCTGTAGCCGGCAAAAGGATGCGAAAATGGGCCTCCTTCTAGGTTAATCTAA